TGTAGCTCAAAAGTAAGTGAAAGAAAAATATAAATTGCACAGTATTTTTTCTGGAGGGCAAATTAGAAAAATTCAAACAAGAAAATTGTTTTCATGATCACAACAGTTGGTATTTAGCTTACACTTGCATTGATTTAAAGAACTGGCGGCCAGTTTTATCCACAACTACAAAAATGAAGTACTTGTAATATAGCTGTTTAATATAAATCATTATCATTCCAGAGTTTTTAATGGAGAACCCTTACATTGTATCATAGCAGTTGGAGGTGGACTTCTAATAGAACAAATATGGTAACCCACCAGTAATAATAATTGGCATTTTATTAAACGTACCACACAACAGATATTGCCATGCAGTTGGTTCGTTACCGCTTAATTTAACCCCCAGTAGTTCCCTTGTAAATTGTCTGTTATTAATGTTTTCAAGTCCCTTTGGTATATAAAACAATGCATTTACCGTGATTGAAGTCATTGACTCATAATTTTCATCAGACGCTCTGCACCTCTCTCTCATTGCCATGTCCTCAGGCCAAGTCTACCACTTTTGTTCAGGGATAAAATGTTATTATTTAAGCCGAAAATTTATATTACAGATTTTAAAGACACAGTTGGTCTTTTCCGTGACTGCTGTTAACTTCCCTTTGTTCATTATGATTTGCATTCATAGTTACAGCTATTGTTTGCTTGTTCAAATTCATTATTTCTATTGTCGAAATTTTGCTAATATTTCTGTATTTTTTTTCAGTAATTTCTTTTGCTAATTTTGTACTATTTAGACGTAATTTCACCTTTGATTCAGGTCTTGATGAAAATGTTCAGAAAAATCATTCTGTACGTTTATTTTTCAAATGTGACAAAAGTTGACATTTTGACGAATACAATTCTGACAGTATTATTCTAAGTTATAGAAAATATGGGTAATATACTTCGTTGCTAATGGTGATAACTGTTAGTCCGTCTTTGCACATTACTACTTTCCTCCAATAATGAGATTTAATCCCAAATGAATATTCTCACCTTTTTTTTTTTTACTAATTATAAATATTTGCACTCTTAATGAAAAAAATAAAAATAATATAAGATTTTTTGAAAAGGATTAAAAAAATAATGGCCATTAATATACAACCTTGATAACCACTTTTACTTTCAACATGTCAACTGCAATTAAAATCACACGTCATCCATGATAATAAAATTTGTTTTTATTTTACCAAAATGTACCAAACAGTACTTATGATGTCGTCATGGGAATTCAATAATATGTTATGTGGTGCATTTCCCTCTGAAAGGTTGGATGTGCTTGGTGGGAATATTTGTGCATTGTTGAACTTTGACCTGGATTAGTGGTTATTCAGTCATACAATTAGAATGTTGAGTCATTTGACAGCTGCAGGTATATCTGTTTTGTTCAAGGAGGTCAGGATATGGTTTCGGGTGAATTGCTTGTACAGTACAGTAAAAATCAATATTACCGACACAAAATATTAGTAATTTTCTATGAACATGAAGTGTTCCTCAAACCTACTTAAAAGTGGATTACTCATTGCTACTTAGTAACACTTAAATCACTCTAACCCTGTATATATTCAATACACATTTTCATTATGTTAATCATCTAAAAAGATTTTATTAAACAAAAAATGAACCCTAAAAAATCTAAGCTTGAATTGCTTAATGAAATTATTGTTCAATGACATCACCAATTTGTTCAGTGACATCACCAACTTGTTCAGTGACATCACCAACTTGTTCTGTGACATCACCAACTTGTTCTGTGACATCACCAACTTGTTCAGTGACATCACCATCTTGTTAAGTGACATCACCAACTTGTTCAGTGACATCACCAACTTGTTCTATGACATCACCAACTTGTTCTGTGACATCACCAACTTGTTAAGTGACATCACCAACTTGTTAAGTGACATCACCAACATTTTCAGTGACATCACCACCAACATTTTCAGTGACATCACCAACTTGTTCAGTGACATCACCACCAACATTTTCAGTGACATCACCACCAACATTTTCAGTGACATCACCAACTTGTTCAGTGACATCACCACCAACATTTTC